AAGGTATAGTAATAAAGGCAATGTAGCAAAACTTGATATTTTTTTTAATGTCCTCCCCAAAATGGACAATTTTTAGCGGTTCTACATACCTTTTATCAGAAATTCAGTAGGCCTCTAAATTTTATAATAAATTAAAATACATGACAAACTTTTATGTATTTTAAAATTTACTAAAATTGAGCTTATAGCACAAAAATAGCAATACTTTCAGAAACACACAGATTCACCTCAGGAAATTGATATGTGATCGTTCTACACCCCCCACCCCCACACTTTCTAGTGACGTCGTAAATACTGAGTTGTTAAAGCATCCAACTATGTTCAGAGGCCAATACATGATATGTTTAAAGAGACATAATTATTAAATAAATAAAATATATCACAACCCTTTGTTTTAGAAAAATATTATTTTTATGAAATTCTAGCAGAATCTTGTGTTGAGAAAAACAGCATAAATAAAAATACATTAGACATAATGTAATGTATTAGACATAATGTAATTGATATACTGCTTGATTCATCTGAAGCGTCACAAATCCAAGGGTAAAAATTATTTTATGAAAAAAAATATTTTATAAGCATTCAAATTTGACGTTAATGATTTTTCGTCAAAGTTAACTTACTTTCTAAGATTTTAAAACGGATGTATAAATTATGATCAAATTGTATATAACTATCTTAAAACACACACACACACAAACTTAACCACCAACACACACAGACACACGTATTGAAAAAGGTTTCATAAATCATATAATGTTATTTGCCAAAATAAGCTTTAACCAATGTACAATAGAATTGTTTTGGATTTTTAATAAGTATTTTTTTGGATTTTGTGATGGCTATATATCCGTGTCCTTTTCATTAAAAAATCCTCTTGGGGTATCTTTGGTTCATAAAAACTACTTTATCAGAACGCACCCTCTGAAGAAGAGAATATGAACATGTGTAAATTAGGTCTACTATATATAATGTCTAGGCTTTCAAGTTAGAAAGGTAGAGATATAGGAGAGATTGTTAGTGGAACAGTCATTAATAAAATTTATAGTGTAACTCAGATATTTGCTATTTAATACTTGTAATAATTAAGGTGAAGATTTGTCACTGAAGATTGAATAGAGTTTACATAGCTAGGAAGGCAGTGTACTCAAACCAGAAGTAAGTGTACTGGTATTTAAAGTCTCCTCATACTTCGCATACTCTGTTAATTGTCTCCATATTGCTTTAATGGGTGCATCTCTTAGTTTTGATTGATTGAACTAGTGTTGTTGACTGTGTTATAAATAAATTAACCGATTTTGAACATTGCTAGTCTTCCTTCCCTTTCTCCCACATCTCTAGTCGTGGATCCGAGATCCTTACAATTTAAAATCTGAAAAGAAGTAAAATTATATCCGCGGATAGCATGAAAATTTAGCTAACCTTTTTTTTAAAGTGTGATATATTAAGAGGCTCATGCTCCACTCAAAATTATTTTAAAGGCAGTTAAAATCACGAAACTTGTTTTGGAATTTATTAAGTTCATTCCTTTTGTGTATGCTTTAATATAGAAGCATAAGGGCTATGCTTATGAACAAATATATTTTCCTGCTTGTAAGGCGTTTTAAATCAAATATAATTATAAAACAGATCCTTCATCTTTTATCAAATGAATGGGAGAGATTTTTACATGTTGGATATATTTGAAGGAAAACCATTAGAGAGAATTTACACATGAGCGTTTGTGAATCTGGATTAAGAATTGCAAGTGTGATATCTTCGAAGAAAGAAATACATTTTTTACGTGTTTACGTGAAAAATATCTTTTAGTTCTTTACTGAATACATTGAAGCAGAGTGACCACACAAAGTAATTTTCTATCTTTTAGAAATGTAATATGTTTTTCAACGGTAAACAACAATAATGCAAACATAGAATATACATTGATAAAGTCACCAAGGAATGATTCAATGTTTTTGAATAATATTTTTATACGGAGAGCTCTGAAAAGTGCATAACTGCAAAATATGATATTCATATAGTTATAAATATATTATTGTTAAAGAAGATGCATGTCTTTAGAGCCAAGTGAATAGCTTCTTCTGTTCTTTTATTACAAAAAGATATTGCTCTACAATTTCTTTTTTTCCCCTGCCTCTTACTATTACCTAATACGTAGAGGCTTCAAAAAGTAAAGTAATAAGCCATTCAGAGTAAACATTTATATAGGAAAAAAATTTTTTACAACGTAGGAAGACACAGGACATATTTCTTCTCTACATAGTCACCATCCTTATACAGGCCATGGATACATCTAACCATCGAAACCAGCATCGTAAAAACCACGTCAAAGGTTTCCAGAATCTCAGCATCAGTTTTGAAATGCTACCTCCCAAGTGTTTTAAAGCTCCGAAGTGATATAATCTTTGGTGCGAGGTCAGGACTGTAAGAAGTGTGGTCGAATATTTTTCACTGAAAACGCTCTTCATCTCACACATCTTTTCCTTTCTGTCAATTCTGTGTACAAAAGCTACACCTGTCTTTGTGACTTATACCGTAATTTTCTATCAATTGCTGATAAATTTCTCCTGAAGATTTTTTAAACGAAAAAAAAAATATGTCGCCCCTCTTATTTCAATCGGAGAGGTGTGGGGGGACTTTTTCGGTCAACGCCACCATCTTGTGAGGAAGATTTAGTCATGTTATTGGAGAACCAGCTCCATCTACCGGTACAATTTGAAAGCTGTGATTCACTTTGTTATTTTCAAAGGAATTTTTATTCGTATGGGCCATTTGAATACCCATCAAAGCTCTTGTTACCATACTTTTTGAAACACTTACGTATGTAGTGTTTCAAAAAGTGTTGATTTATTAATGCTATAAAACACATATTCGTTAAGTAAATAAGATTTTTATGGACGTCACACTATAAAGCAACAGGAGAGATACTGGCGAGGACCTTTTAATTTTGAGACATGATTAAGTGATGAAATCACAATACCTGAGTTAGCACCACCTTCTCTTAAATACCACACCACTCCAATGGAAAGATATTGAGCCTTTACATAACGCGTCTTCAGTGACATTAGGACTCAAACTCGCGACACTCAAACCACAATTCTTGACCATAACCACTAGGCTACCACGGCACCACATAATCATTAAACAGTAAATTATAATTTGATGTAAAGAAGTAAAACAAAGAAAAATAAGCAAGATATTATGAACTCGTGCAAATTCCAAATGAATTTAATCGAAATAATGTGAAAACTTATCAAAAATTTTTAAAAATAGTTTTTTATTTGTGCATAGCTTTTATTAATGTCGGTGCTCAGACTTGTTTAAAACCATAAATCTATTCTATTTTTATTTACAGTAAATAAGAAAGGCTTATAACATGTTCTGACCAACTTTAATGGTAGAGGATGAACATTTTATGCGAAGAATTAATAAATAAATAAATAAAAAGAACCTGTCATTCCTTTAGAGTTTCTTGACGTTTTCAGAAACTGTGAAATAATATATTTTGGAAGCACGTATAAAGTCCTTCAGCTGTCAATCCCTTTTCAAGGATTTGAAATAGAATTTTGAAAATACATAAACTCCCAAAATGTTAAAAAATAGAAGGTAAATCCATCGCGCGCGATTTCTAGTACATAAAATTTTTATATTGCGGGGAAAATTACCGATGATCAAAATTTCTATTTGAAAATGGCTCTGTGTTAGCGATATTCAAAAATTTTAATTGTACGGTCTTACTGGTTTTATATTTCTAGAAGGGACATAATTGTTTTCGTATAAAACGTATGAAAACGCTCAAGTTAAAACTATGAAATAACCAAAAAAAGTGTATTAAGTGCTTTAAAATTTTATTGAACTGCGATGGGTTTTTTTTTTGGTTTAGATTTTAAAAAAAACATTCCCGGAAAGAAACTTATTAAATGTAATTGATTTATTTGATTTTTAAATTTGAATTTTGCCATCTCAATGCTCAGCTGCTTTTTTTATTGCTAGATGTCTTCTTTTCTTATATATAAAAGAGATAAAGTTGGTGAAGCACAAAACCACTCCTTTGTCTACTGATTTTCCTTTTGAACTGTAAAGTTTCTTTGAAGAATGTATAAGTGGATCAGATGTCAATAACTTTGTGGATTTGAAAGAACGTTTGGTCATACATTAGTTAAAATAAAATATACTTTCAGCCCCTCCAGAGTATTTTATAGAGGATTTTGCAAATATTAAAAGAATCAGCGCGTAGTCGATATAAAATATAAATCGTGAGAAAGTATTTAACTACGATTGAAATCACAAAACACCAAAGCTGTATAAAATCCAAATAAGAATCTGTAGTTGTAAGGAAAATATTCAACATCAATTCTTTATGTTCAAATGTCTGATATAAAGTCCGGCAATAAAAATAAAAATAGCAAAAATAAATAAATAAATAAAAGAGATTTAAGACTGCTTAGGCTCATTGTTAAAGAATAGGACACGAATTTGAAATATTTTTTCAGATATATATGTACTTCAACTTTAATATTATATTCTGGCTTTGTGTGTGATATCCTATACACACACACACAGACGCATTCTTTTTCAGACTACTCATTTTTTATCCAAGTGGAACTACTTTTTCATTCACAATTCCTCTATTTTAGTTCACTCTCTCCTTATATATATATATATTTTATATATATATATATATATATATATATATTTTATATATATATATAAAATATATATATATATATATATATATATATATAAATATATATATATATAATATATATATAATATATATTCTTGTGTTCCAAATGTTCAATCGTTAATAAAATAGTTTCTATTCACCCATTCAAGTTCAAATACATTTTTTTTAAACTTGCAGTGGATGACACCTGATGTTAGTACAGTTTTTTCAAATTTTTTTTTTTTGTTCATTAATTAAATTAAAAAATAAATAAATAGTAACAAAAAAAAATAATTGTCTTACAGCATGTATACAAAGGAAAATTAGTCTTTGTGTCCCTGTAGCGCAATGGGTAGCGTGTTGGACATATAATCCAAAGGTCGTGGGCTCGAATCCCACCTGTGGTGGCCTAAATTCTGAATATGAGATTTCCTTTGCTGCACTATTGAAATAAAAAAAAATGTAATTTAATTAATGAATAAGTAGTAACAAACAAAAAAAAAAATAGTCCAACACCTTTTATAGAAAGGAAAATGGAAAATCGCTTTCTATTATGTCCCTTAATATTGTGATTCTGTCATATGTATATATATGTTCATATGTCTGTCATATGTATTATATTAATTGTAACTATTTTTTATTAAAAGTAACTGAAATAAAATTTCTCTTTTTTGACTTAAGTAGGAATATTGACTTCGTTTTTTTTATATTACTTGTGTTTTGTTATAAAATGTGTTTCGAAATTTTTCTCCTGTATCGTAATGCTGAATAAGGTATCCTTTGAAATGTTAGAAGGAAAAAATATTTATGAAATATTTTGAAATTTTAAAAATGCTGTATTATAAACAAAGGTGCATGGAGTATGATTTTGCATGAAAATTGAGACATTTCTCTGTCTGAAAACGCGCGCGGGCTCCACGTTTAGTACAGGCCTTTTTATATTTGGCGAAGACTATACCTAAATACAACTAAAAATTCAATTTATTTTGTCTTGTATCTTTAGATCGAGTTAATAATATCATATTCATACGATCAAACAGACATTAATCAATTTTTTTAGTCCTTAATGTAATAAATCAACATTGTAAATGTGGATCACTTGTAGTAATAAAATAAAAAAAAATGTATAATATTGAAATAGAAATCAATATTTATTCTTACACACGTTTAACTTTGAGTTAGCATTTTAGCAACTAAATATATTAATGATTTTATCTGTCTTTCTATATAAAAAAAGGTTTTCGTGATGTGTAATAAATTTATTTATTTGGCTTTTATTATTTTACAAAATAAATTCATTTATTTTGTAAAATAAAATTATTTTTTCAAGATAGGTTACATCTCATGCTATTAAGAAATTTATGCAATACTGATGGACTGAGCAATCACACAAGATTGGTAGGGAAAATATACACAAGCAAATATCACAGTATGAATTTTTATCAGGAGATAAGAATGGCGAAATTGTACCTATACTAGGATCATAGTGGACACTGGAGAGGAATTGTGGCCGAGGTAGCCTAGTGGTCAAGGTATCGGATCGTATCTGGCATGTCACGAGTTCAAACCCAGTACCACTAAGACCTACCGTGTAGGGGAGCGGACGTTAAATTATCAGAGTTTAAATTCCCTTTCCCTTTGGGGGGTAGAGAAGGGGATACCAGCTGGTATCCCCTTGTCTTTTGACCATGGTTCAAAATTACGAGGTCCGTCCCGCCCCGTGTAGATGAACGTCGACCTTTTATTCACTCACTCACTGAAAAGGAATTGATATGCACCTACGAAACGCAAATTTCCTGTAAGATTGGCATTTGTCATGAATATTAATAAATCACAAGAGGGGAAAATTTTGGAAAAGTCGGTTTATGTGTAACATCGAAAAAAAAAAAATTACAATTATAGGTGGTTCTGTCAAGGTGCAGAAGCCAAGACGGAATAAAAATCAGTAAAAAGGGGGAAAAGGTGATTAGGGCATTGTTTTTGAAAGGCACTAAAAAAGACCAAATTAAAATGTGAACAAAAACCTCTTAAAAACCCGCTTGCAATTTATTGAAAAAAAGAACTCATCAACATAAAAATTCAGTTTTACAATTTGAGCAATGAGTATGAACAGTTGATTTTGGGCTGGGGTTGGTCCGCCTTAAACTGGGGGGATATCCTCCCTCCCCCAGTATATATAATAATGAGATTCAACAATTGAAAATGATTCAAGTTAAAATATTTTGAGGTTAACCAGAACGAAAAATCCGTAAGAAAATCTGAAGCTTTTGCACTCCAGATGCATTTATAACAATGGAAAGTAATCTTTATTATTACAAAATTATTTATACTGTTATGTAGATCCGAGGGTTCGAGGATGCGAATTATTATCAAAAATCCAATCCTTTAAATACAGGATTCAGCAGCGATATTCACAGAGTAAATATCCAAAGGTCTTCACACCTTCAACAGCAATCAAACACAATAAAGGTTAAAAATCCCGAAAGAAAAAATTATTCCCAACCCGGCTAATCGCTAGTCAAAAACCTCACTACGCGGGTTTTTGATCGCCACCGGGGAGCATCTTTTTTTTAAGGCGTACAGAAACTTCCGAAATATAACAGCTGTGTCATTGAACGTGACACTAGGGGACGATCTATACTTTCAGAAGATTCCCGAGGGTTTAAATGCAAACATGGTTGAATGACGCCAAACCCCGCTCATTGGATCGCCATTATAACGAAGGAGGCATTGCTTGTGAAGGGCAATTTTTACATGAAATAAACTTAACATAGAGTAATATAAATGCATTAAACATTCAAATACAAATTATTTACACTATTTACACAAAATTCGTAACAATACTTATCTATCAAAACAATGTACAATAGTTCACAGAATCAACTTTTATTCCATTCGTACTTAACATTTGTTATTACAAATCCCAATATATTATGTGCAAGCATATATTATCTCAGATACAAATGAATAATATTGAAAAAGAACAATTTTTATTGATTCTGTACTCATGCTGATTCTATTTCACTGCCCTCTGAAATTTCCTAAAGCTTACTGGTTCAAAATTTTCCGTTGTGGGATTTCACCCAACAATGATTAAACCCAATTTACCCATCAGAAACATTAGATTTCAAGAACATTTTGCAGTAAATATTGTGATTACAAGAGCTAATGGAAGGGAACGTAGGGGAAAATAATTATGGGAATCCCCCAAAAATGATTTTTTTGAAGCAACTTTTGAGAGACTTTATAAAAATTTTGATTTTCGCTAAAGAAAGAAAGTTTTTTTGGGGATTTTTTTTTTTAAAATTTATAGCTTTTTTTCAGAAAGCTCATACAAAACCGATATACAAAAACATTTCAACTGAAGCGAAAAGCTGTATTTTGGTTGGAACGCGAAAATCAGCAATGACAGCAAAAAAAAGATATCGATTTATTTTGGTTCCATAAACCTGCAGTTATTCTGTTATAGCAACCAACGTATCTCAATATTTTCTCAAATTTAACACCAGGCATATAATTATCATCATTGCAAGTACATTTCTGCTCGATTTCAAAACAACTGAAGTAATCTCACTAAACCACGTTAGAAGATGTGTGACGGATCTATCCGCGTACTTTCTTTTAATCCTCTTGGGAAATCTTTGGGCTATCGATTCGCGTTTATTCACAGCCAACCCTTTGAAGAAGAAACCGCTTGATATTTAAATTGAGTCTACTATATATAGTCTAGGTTTTCTAGCTAGATAGGAGAAGGAAAGAGAGAAAGTGAGGAAACAGGTGAGATTACTACTGATCAGGTATCATTCAAATTTATAATTGTATTTCAAATATTAGATAGATGAAAGAATCAAAGTGACAATTTATCACTAGGATTTATTTAGTGTTCAAATATTTTGGATAGTAGAATTACTGCTAGAATGAGAGGATCGATAATTATAATCCTCTCGTAATTCGAGCATCTAGCTGTTAATGCACACATATTGCTTATACTGAGACATTCTCTTCTCTTTGAAATAACTTAAATTGATTTAGTAAATTGTTTGATCGATAAATAGATTGATTTTGAATGTGTCTGGTGTTTCTTCCCTTTTTCCCACACCTCCAGGCGGGTAAGAGAGAGAGTCAAATCCCTCACAAATGTATTAATAGTTAGAGGCAATTTTTCATATATTAAATAAATAAATAAGCGTATTTCTTACATAATTATTGAAGGCCCGGCACGATGCGAACGTCGCAACGGGGAAAAACATAGATCACAAATATGAACTTGGTTATCAAATGCGATTTTGAAAATGGATAACAATGCCAACGCTGGCCGTTCTCTGCTCACCTCTTGAACCCCTCAGGGGGCTCACCTTCTTTAGGTGGGTACGGGTGTCACAATCCCGAGGTCCCCTAGGATTTTTTTCCTTTTTCCCCAAAGGGGGTTTACTATCTTGGAAACACGGGTGTCATGCCCCCGAAAACCCCAGGATCCTCCATTTTCGCCCCTTTTTATCTCGTCATCCAACACCCTTTTTTTTTTTCCCGTCCGAACAGACCTATGAATGTTTGGCGCAGAAAAAAAACGGCTCTTGCGCCATAAAACACCAAACTCATCATCCTCACCACCTCTTGAAAAGTACACATGTTGGTTAATCATATCAATTCACGTAGTGTACCAATTAAAAAGAGAATAAAATACTTTAATATTAAGAGAAAATTTTGCTCAGAATTACTTTTTTTTTGTTTATGATATAATTACATTTTAGTACAAATAATTATGTATAAAATAAAATTAGTCATTCGGAACTGAAATGAAAACTGAAAATGAACAAAAGTGTTTTTAGTTGAACCGGAAAAAAAAAAATTCCGGTTCGAAGCCCCGGACACACGTGATCGGCCCCCACCCTCCGAATTTAACCTTTCCGTTTGTTTTAGTTGACACCAACTGTTTTTAACGTGCACCAGCTACTCTTCAGGTCTTAAGTACTGCCAAGACTCGAACCCTTGACTTGAGGGAAGCCACTTCGGAAACGAGTTCGCGACCAAAGCCACTCGACTATTGTGGACAAATTGCAGATCGTAACAGAGTGGGATGATTGTGGGATATTATATATTATGAATTTTTTAAATTCTGTATTTCTGCAGTTTTGTCCTTCGTTCTATATTTCAATGTCTTAATTAGAATCTTTATATTTATTGTAAGCACCTTTAACAATGCAATCCGTAATAAATATAAATAAATTTATTTCATAATTTTTGCACTCATTTATTCGATAAGAACATTTCTTCTCACAACCAGACATTCATCATATGCATCTGTTTCATATGCATATTTAACAATATATATATATATATATATATATATAAAAAATCCATGAACATATACAAATAACTATAAAACCTAAGTATAACTAGTCAAGAT